AAACTCACTGAATACGGCCACATTGCATTCATCAGTGTCAATTGAAAGGCCAAACTGCGTAAGAATCATACTCGGATTTCCTTGCCATCTCGCCTCGACGAAAATCACAGGTAAATGATCGGAGAAGGATCGTAGTGGAATCAGAGACATTTCCTCTTGTTACAATACTGAATCGTATAGACATTTGCAGCGATGAAAGCAGTTCGATTCAATTAATTAGTTCTCGCTGAATACAGCTAGTCACCACTCTGACTGACAACCAATACATTATAGATCCATTGCGTTGCTCTTCAAGTTTAAATTTCGATTTCAATCGATATTTCGTTATAAGTGTAATAATCAATTAATCAACAGTGATCGCCACTATTTCATAATACCTCACGCATAATTCATTCATTCACACACCTGAAATTATCAGTTATGAATATCTTCGGCTTTTTGGAGAAACCCAGATCATACTTTTTCGATTATAAACGCGAAAAAGCACGATGTTAAACTGTTCATCGAAATAAACGAAACAAAATTTGAAGGCAAATGAACATTGATGACGTTTCATCAGGAAGACATTTGCATTTGTAATAAAAGCTGTCACAGCGAATGAACAAATTCACCATTAAAGTAACGAACGAACATATTAATGATCTCATGAATGCAATACACACACACACATTCATCAAAAGCGATTTCTGAAGGTATCGCTTGCGACTATTTCACGTTTTTTTTGAATCAATAACCGTAAATATCATGAAACTTTTGAAATGAGAATAAGGCATAAGAACGCTATAGTGGTGAGAATATTTTTTGCATAAATTTCGTGATTCCATCAAAATGGCGAACGACCGACGAACGCTGAGAGCACAATGCTTGAAAGCGTTCAGAATGTATGTTTCACAGCAAGCTGGATATGTACCCAAAAAAGGAGGTTTTCGGTCGAACGAATCGATCGAAACTATAAGCTGTCTAGAAAAATGCAATCAACAAAAACCAGTTGCGAGCACACTATCAGAAAATATTGTTAAAGTAATACCAAAAGAAAGAGCAATGATAATAAAAACCATATCAAAACCCATGTTGATTTTAACAATATGAACTTAAACTAGCGAACGCCCCTTCGCACAAAGCTTTCCATCGAATAATGACGGAAAAAATGTACTGAACAAGCAAAAACGAAGATTATATGTTGAGTTAGTGCACAAATAATGTAGATTGGTCGATGGGTTGGTGAGTTCGGTTGAATTGTGAAAATGGAGCTAAATGAAGAAAGAAAATATGGGTGAGTGGTTTGTTGAGGAAGAGGTAACATGAAAAAGCGCATACGATGAAGAAGTTTGTTGATGCAGAAATAGTGTGAGAAGGATGTGGATATGGGGGATGGATATATGACGAATTGTGTGTGGATTTGGACGGAGTGATTTGAACAGAGTCGTCAGTGTAAACGTTTCACGAATGAACGAGATAAAGTCAGAGAGCTGTACGGAGTGGAGGCGATATAAACGCCTTGATTCGATCAACAGACGCCAAAGGGCCTTGATTATAGAGGAATTTATTTGCCGATGAATTGCAAATGATGGCGTCATGCACATGCCTGTACTCATGCATACACATTCTCGTTGTCTTCATGCACACAAACCAACAGTGCCGGCCGGTTCTATGCATGATGCATGGCAGTCTTGTATTGTCATATAGACTGAGATGGTGCTGGTTTGATGATGCCGATATGGCTCACTTCAACTGCCTACAGTCTATTTCGTACGGTCTACTGCTGTGCAGGGCAAGGACAGAGCATCAAATAGACTTATCAAATGTCAACATTAAAAATGGACCGGTTGTCTGATGATTGATGACGGTAGCGGTCAATGACGACAGTAAAACGTGATTATTAAAAAGTTCAGTTTTGAGCAGCAAGACATGTCGAA